AGGAAGGTGAGCATCCAAACAGAGTAGGCTCTCACAAAGCCAGTCCATGCAGTAGAATCAGAATCCAGTGCCATTGTCCTTGGCTTCTCAGTCAGCCCTCATTGTCAGCCACATTCAGAGAATCCGGTTTGATCACATGCTCCATCAGTCCCAGTCCAGCTGGCCTTGGTGAGCTCCCATTAGATCAGACTCATCATCTCAGTGGGTGGACGCACCCCTCACGGTCCTGACTTCCTTGCTCATCTTCTCCCTCCTTCTGCTCTTCAACCGGACCTTAGGAGCTCAGTCCAGTGCTCCAATTTGGGTCTCTGTCTCTATCTCCATCCATCGCCAGATGAAGGTTCATAAAAACAAGTCCCAGTGCCTTTATCAATGGCTTCTCAGTCAGCCCCCATTGTCAGCCACAATCAGAGGGTCCAGTTTGATCACAAGCTCATTCAGACCCGGTCCAGCTGGATTTGGTGAGCTCCCATTAGAACTAGAACAGGCACACTGCCTCAGTTGGTGGACCAACCCCTCGCGGTCCTGACTTCCTTTCTCATCTTCTCCCTCCTTCTGCCATTCAACTGGACCTTGGGAGCTCAGTTCGTTGCTCTGATGAGGGTCTCTGTCTCTATCTCTATCCCTCGCCAGACGAAGATTCTATGGTGATACTCAAGATAATCATCAGTGTGATAGTGGGACAAGGACAGTTCAGGCTCCCTCTCCTATGCTGTCCAAGGACCTAGCTGGGGACATCCCATGGACACCAGGGATCCCCTCTAGAGCCAAGTCTCTTGCCAACTCTAAAATGGATCCCTTACTGTAGGTATCTTCTTCACTGCTCCTATATGCGTCCTCCTGCTCCCTCAAGCTCTTGCCAGACCTTCCCTTCTCCCTTCCCTTTCCCCCTCTCCCCTTCCTCCAAACTCACCCGCACCCCTGCCCCCACCCCCATGATCACAGCTTTTGCCCTGCATTCTTGTTTGCTTCCAATTTCCAGGAAGATCTATATATGATTTTCTTTGGGTTATTTGACTTCTCTGGGCTTGTGAACTATGGGCTTAATGACCTTGGTTTATGGCTAAAGTCCACAAATGAGTGAGTACATACGAAACTCATCTTTTTGGGTCTGAGTTATCTCACACAGGATAGTGTTTTCTATTTCCATCCATTTGCATGCAAAATTCAAGGTGTCATTGTTTTTTTACCGCTGAGTAGTACTCTAATGTGTAGATGTGCCACACTTTCTTTATCCATTCTTCCATTGAGGGGCATCTAGGTTGTTTCCAGGTTCTGGCTATTACAAATAATGCTGCTATGAACATAGTTGAACAAATGCTTTTGTAGTATGATTGGGCATCTCTTGGGTATATTCCCAAGAGTGGAATTGCTGAGTCCTGAGGTAGGTTGATTCTGAATTTCCTGAGAAACTGCCACACTGATTTCCAAAGTGGTTACACAAGTGTGCATTCCCACCAGCAATGGATGAGTGTTCCCCTTACTCCACATCCTCTCCAGCAAAGGTATCATTGGTGTTTTTGATTTTAGCCATTCTGACAGGTGTAAGATGATATCTCAAAGTTGTTTTGATTTGCATTTTCCTGATAGCTAAGGAAGTTGAACATGACCTTAAGTGTCTCTTGGCCATTTGGACTTCTTCTGTTGAGAATTCTCTGTTCAGTTCAGTGCCCCATTTTTTAATTGGGTTAATTAGAATTTTGAAGTCTAGTTTCTTGAGTTCTTTATATATTTTGGAGATCAGACCTTTGATATGGGGTTGGTGAAGATCTTCTCCCATTCAGTAGGATGCCTTTTTGTCTTAGTGACAGTGTCCTTTGCTTTACAAAAGCTTCTCAGTTTCAGGAGGTCCCATTTATTCACTGTTGCCCTTATTGTCTGTGCTACTGGGGTTATATGTAGGAAGTAGTCTCCTGTGCCCATGTGTTGTAGTCTACTTCCCACTTTCTCTTCTATCAGGTTCAGTGTGGTCGGATTTATATTGAAGTCTTTAATCCATTTGGACTTGAGTTTTGTGCATGGGGATAGATATGGATCTATTTTCATTCTTCTACAGGTTGATATCCAGTTATGCCAGCACCATTTGTTGAAGATGCTTTCTTTCTTCCTTTGTATACTTTTATCTCCTTTGTTGAAAATCAGGTGTTCATAGATTTGTGGGTTAATATCCGGGTCTTCTATTCGATTCCATTGGTCGATTTCTCTGTTTTTATGCCAGTACCAATCTGTTTTCATTACTATAGCTGCTTTATTTTATGTGCATTGGTGTGAATATGTTAGATCGCCTGAAACTGGACAGTTGTGAGCTGCCATGTGGGTGCTGGGAATTGTATCCGGGTCCTCTGGGAAAGCAGCTAGTGCTCTTAACTGCTGAGCCATCTCTCCAGCCCCCCCAGATTCCTGATATTCTATTAAAACAACAAAAACAGGGTCTTATGTAGCCCAGGCTGACCTCAACTTCTAACCTTTCACCTCCTGAGTGCTGGGCCTGCAGATGTGTGTACCACACCTGTATGAGATGGGTCCCTTGCTGAAGTCCAACCTACATGGCCTCGACTTACATGTCACTTCAGCATCAAGTATTGAGACAGTTAACACACAGAAAGGGACAAGCAATAGAGACTGCCCTCTGTCTCCATAGCAACTACAGCTGTATTGTCATTGGTGGTTCTGGGAGCTCACCTGTCCCTAGTTCCACCCTGGCACAAAGTTGGAGCATTAGTGTTAGTGAGATGCAATGCACATAACTTAGGCTGCGGTTGCCAACGGGTCTCGCTGTAGCTTCGGCTGGCCTCAAACTCAACCGTGCCTCAGTTTCCAGAGCTGTTGGACAAGGTCTCTCTTTTTTTCCCCCAAGATAGGGTTTCTCTGTGTAACAGCCCTGGCTGTCCTGGAACTTGCCTTGTAGACCAGGCTGGCCTCAAACTAACAGAGATCCACCTGCCTCTGCCTCTTGAGTGCTAGAATTAAAGGCATGCACCGCCACACCTGGCAGGATAAGGTACATGATACAAGTTATGTAGGTTCTAAGAGTCAAACCTGGTTCCTCTGGAAGCCAGTGCTCTTAGCTGCTGAGCCATCACTCCAGCCCCTCTTGGAAATGGAGGTTTTTGCCTCAGTTTGCCCTTGGGTAGGAACTAAAGGCCTCAGAGTCTGAACAGTAGAGTTGCTGGCTAGCATCATCCTGACGTTCCCTCCTCACACCCCACTTCATCCACTGGAGACTTTCCATAAGATCAAATCTCGGCACTTTGGGAGGCCACCCTCTGCTTCCCAACCTTTCTGAAGATCCAGTCTTCGACCCTTTGAGGGAAGGAGAACCTTCTATGCTAGATGCTAAACTATACATTTAGCTGATTCATTTCTGTGGGTGCCCTAGTGAGGTGCATCTTGGCTTCATTTACAGATGGGAAAAAGGACAGTGGAGTGGGTGTACGGTGTAGACCAGCAGGGCAGCGGAGTGGGTGTGCAGTGTAGACCAGCAGGGCAGTGGAGTGGGTGTGCGGTGTAGACCAGCAGGGCAGTGGAGTGGTGTGGGGGTCACTCCACGCCACGGGGTCAGCATTGCCACCCACCTCCCACAAGTTCTATATTGTCCTAGGGGTTAAAAAACATAGACGCACACACACAGACAGAGTGTTCGAGTCATCCTCAAGAAGAGAATGCCCAATTTATTCAACTTAATCCAGGGTTAAATACTTTTGGCCCAGGAGTGGCAAGCCCCCTTCCAGCCAGGGGTGAGATCAAGGGGATGAGGGCCTGGCACCAGTGGCAGGAGCTGCCAGGCAGGGGGTATCGAGCTGGGAGCCCTGACAGACAGATAGGAGGAGATTCAGGGCGCCTGTGAGGACCCTCCTTAGCAGGTGAAATTACCATATCAAGACGGAAACATGGTTCTGAACTAATCCCCTCCGCCTGGCAGAGCAGGGAAAACTAAGCTGGTTAGCGTAAACATTTCTGCATCCTGTGCTTTGGCCTCGAGGAACAGGGAAGACAGGGCCTCACAGATTGGTGTGTGGTGTAGACCAGCAAGGCAGTGGATTGGTGTGTGGTGTAGACCAGCAGGGCAGTGGAGTATGTGTGTGCACTTCCACAAAGCCAAGGACCTGAGTCTGATCCCTGGAACCCACATAGGTGAAAATGACACCCTCGGGTTGTCCTCAGACCTTCTTGTGCACACCAAGATACACGTACAAATAAGTGTAAGAAGTTTATGTAAATAAAGGGTACAGTGGCTTCGAGGGGACTATGTGACCTCTTGAGCTATTTGATCCATTTTGATTTTATGGAGCTATCTCTTACAGCCCAATGTGACCTAACATTTTCCCTCTGCCTCCTCCAAGGACCAGGATTACAATTGCTTGTCACCGTCCAGGTCTAGTGTTGGCATCTGGGTTCTAGGTGATTCCGTTGTACTGTTGATTAACAAAAGGCTAGAGAAGGTGATGCCAGTGAGTGGCAATTGTGTACTTTTGCTACTGTCCTTAGAACTAGCTCCAAGTCTGGCTCCTAAGGAGGACTTGTATCCTGCAGCTTGAACTCTTACTTTCCTTTGTGTGTGCACACACTTGCATCCACCACCACCTCACCTCTGTCTCACACACCCCCATCTCATTTGAATGCTGGTGGAAGCCAGAGGTGTTAGATCCCCTGGAGCTGGGATTACAAACATTTGTGAGCCATTCCACATGGGTGATGGAATCAAACTCGGGTTTTCTACAAGAGCAGTACATACATTTATCTCCGGCCCTGGGGTTTCTGCTGTTTGCTGTTCAGTTCAAAGATAATTGAACAGTCTCCTTCCTTTGGGCTCCACACGTGACCCTATCTCTCTGCATCAGGGCCTCCTACATGTAGTGGCTCACCGTGCGGCCGCATGGAGCCTGCTCAGCCTTCCTTCACTGATACCTCAAGACACTTAGCTACAACCGAGAGCCAAGTGCAGAGGGCAGGTCTTGTGCAGGTCAGAGAGACTGGGAACCAGATGCAGAATTGTCAAGGAAAACAGACTCCTGAGGGCTGAGAGCGGCTTTGTTCTTCTTGTCCTTGTTCTGCTCTCGTCTTTTGTGTTCCCTTCGTGCCCTGATGTTTTCCTTCCTCTTTCCTGAGGACTTCCTTCTGCATCTTCCCTAGTGTTTTCCTTCTCTCTTCTTATTTTCTCTCCTTACAGCTTATATACCCCAGCAAAATCAAGATGTATAAAGATTTTAAGTGAGTGGTTACAGTGACTACAAGTAAAAACCATGTTTTCCATATCCCTACATGACTAAACATTTTACACATCAGAAGTGAAAAATTAGTTGCCCCAAGAACCCGCATACATTCATGTCCAATGTCCAAGCAGCTTGTTATAGGTTAACAGAGTGTGGGCAAGCAAGGTATTTTTCTTAGCCAGTTCTTTTACTGGCAGGCTGTATTTCGTGGTTACAAAGAAAGGACCAATCATTGTTTATTTAAGACTATAAAAGTCTTGAATCACAAATCTAAACTTTTATATATGAAAAACAATTTTAAAAACTTTAAATCCACAGAGTGCATACCTACTCATCAACAGTTTTTTATATCAGGAAGCTGAAGACAAATGGGCACAAGGGATGGATGGTCATCTTTGATCACCAACCCATCCTAACAAGAAAAGCACGCCAGCTAATAACTGAACTGCCTTGTTCTTCCCTGACATTAACGAGTCCCTCACTCAACTCTGCCTTTCTAAACTTCAGTTAACGCAAGTTTTTCACCTCAAAGCTATTAGCAAAAACATCTTTCTTTTAACATTTAATACTTTATTGAGGCATAACAAATATATGAAAAATTACACATGTAACATATAAACAAAAACATCTTAACCAAATCTTATTAACAATTCTATATGTCTAAGTTCTTTCTAAAGGTGGTGGTTGAATCACTAATCTGGCCCAGCAGCAATGCTTGGGAAAAGTCAGTCCCTATTATTGTAAGTACCAGTACCACTGTCCAGTGGGGGGCTAGAGACCCCTGAGAGTTTTTGTACAGCCCATAGACAGGGATGTGGTAGACAGAAGGTGCACTCATCTGTGCTCCATAACATGAGGTCCTCAGGACATGTAGTCCTCAGGGCTTTGCCTGTTGCTCCCCTCACATGGCCCCCAACATTCAAGGGCATCTCAACCTGTGACTGACAGGTGGTGGGAGGCAGAGCCAACACACCTGAGCTTCCATTTTCCTGCCGGGACTGAGGTCAGGATAGCAAAGGGTGGAGTCAACAGAGACCAGTAAAACAGGACTGGGATAAATATGTGGTGTCCAGTGAGGAGAGGGACATGACTGCATCATCACCGCCCAGTTCAGGAGTCACAATTCAGGACCAAGAAAAATCAGGGCTCTGGCTTCCCAGCAGCTTGGGACCCAGACCTCCCTCCCACCTAAGGGCCCACCTTGTCTGTTCATTGATGTCTTCTGTTGCTAGGGCTTCTCCTGGCGCTGAACCTGGAGGCTGGTGTCCTCTTGGCCTTCCTGGCAGTCCAGCCTGGACAAACTTCAAAGACAGTAGCTGTAGCTTTCACCTTCTGGCCACGGACATTGGGAGGGGTGGCACAGGTGGCCCCTACCCGCAGGTTCAGCCCAGTGAGCCACCTGAGGAGGAACGAGAGATGGGGAGCTCATTGTGGGCGTGCACGGGTGAGAGATTTCCCGAGGAGTATGAGGAGGGGTCAGGAGCTCTGAGGCAGTGTACGAAAGAGGGACAGTGTCCACGGAGAGTTCTGGCTGGGTGGCTTGCCTCCAAGTCACTTTAAGCCTCTGATCCCTTCTGCATAAAAAGGGATGGAAACAGCAGTGCTCACCGTGTCCCAGACACTACACTGATACCTGCTAACGGTGCTGAGTTCTCCAGCAGCCATGATTCTGTGGATTAGACTGCTCATCCTTTTCACAGATGAGCAAAGGGAGGTTAGGGAATGTATAACATCGGAGCCTGGGCTGACCGGCCCTTAGGCTTGCTTGACCCCAGACTTGTTATTCTACTAAAAAACAGGGACACCGGGTCTCATTCAGCCCAGACGGACGTCAACTTCTGATCTGGCCTCCACCTCCTGAGTGCTGGGGTTGCAGGTGTCTGCACACACCTGGTATTTCTAAAGACTGAACCCTGGGCTTCGTGCTAGGTAAGCACTCTACCAGCTGGACTATGTCCCCAGCCTTTGTTTTTATTTAGTCCAGGCTGATCTCAAACTCCTGCTCCTCCTGCCTCCACTTCCCAAGTGCTAGGATTACAGCCATGGTCACCAGCCCAGCTCCTGGTTGCTTTTTTATGTCATCGTGCCAAATACACATGTATTTTTTGGTCCCAGCTCACCAAGAGAGAACGACATCCCAACTTTATGAAGGAGTCAAAAAAGCTCAGTCCACCTGTGTCACTGAGTTCTCTTCAGCTTGACTCAAATGACCCACCGAGGAAGAAGGGGCCTCGGTTGGGATTTACCTCCTCCAGACTGGCCTGTAGACATGTCTGTGGGGTGTTATCTTGATTAATAATTGAGGTAGGAGGGCCCAGTTCACTGTAGGCAGTGCCAACCTAGGTAGGTGGTCCAGGCTTGTATGGGAAAGCAAAGTGAGCAAGCCAGCAAGCAGTCTCCCCGCCTGGCTCCGCCTCAGTGCAGCTCCTGCCCTGAGCTCCTGCCCTGGCTGCCCTTGATGAACTATATAACCTGTAAGCTAAACCTGTGCCAAGTTGCTTTTTGATTTGTTTTGTTGTTTCTGTTTATTGCTTGGTTTTAGTTTTACTTTTTCTAATTTTTCTTTTTTAAAAAAAAAATATTTATTTATTATGTATACAATATTCTGTCTGTGTGTATGCCTGCAGGCCAGAAGAGGGAACCAGACCTCATTACAGATGGTTGTGAGCCACCATGTGGTTGCTGGGAATTGAACTCAGGACTTTTGGAAGAGCAGGCAATGCTCTTAACCGCTGAGCCATCTCTCCAGCCCCACTTTTTCTCATTTTTCGAGACAGGGTTTCTCTGTGTAGCTTTGGAGCCTGTCCTGGAACTTGCTCTGCCGGCTGCACAGAGATCCACCTGCCTCTGCCTCCCGAGTGCTGGAATTAAAGGTGTGCACCACCACCACCTGACTTGTTTTTGGTTCTTCAAGACAGGGTTTCTCTCTTTAGCCCTAGCTGTCCTCTTTCTCTGTAGACTGAGCTGGTCTCCAACTCAGATCCACCTGCCACCTGCCTCTGCCTCCCAAGTGCTGAGATTTTAAGGCCTGCACCACCACTGCCTGACTGTTTTGAGATAGGATCTCACTATGTAGCCATGGCTGGCCTGGTCTATATCAATCAGACTGGCCTCCATCTCACAAAGGTCTGCCTGCTTCTGCATCTTAACTGCTGGGATTAAAGGTTGTTGCCACCACGCCCACCACACCCCAGTTGTTTTTTGGTCACAGTGTTTATCAGAGCAACAGAGTTAATGCTAACATCATCCTAGGTACTTAGGAATAGCAATGACTTGCAAGAGTGCATTCATGCTTGGCTTAGAGGAACCTCACAGCCGCCCTAAGCTGGCTGGTGGTGCACAGCCACGGCACCTCCTGGGAGCTACTGGACTTGATGCCAGCAGTTGCTATACCTCTGTGGGGGGTTATGGTGGGGGTGACTACCTGTAGAGCGGGAGCAGTTGGCAGTCACAATGGAAGGGATTGCCACTGAGGTCGATGAGCTCCAGCCCGCTGAGCCATGGCAGTGCAGGCAGGGACTGAAGTTGGTTCTTCTGCAGGTACAGGTTCCGGAGCCCTGTTCCCAGGCCCGAGAAGGCCCTGGGAGAAATCTGCAAAGAAGTGCCAATTCCTGTTGTGAGCCCCCTGCCAGGCGGATTGCCCCAGGTCTGCAGGGGAGGTCCATCCTCTCCAGCAGAGAGATGGAAGGCCCAAGGTGGTCCACGTGGGAAGGGCAGTTAATACCCAGCGCGTGATCTCATTCCAAGTCACACAATGCCAAGCTTCTGTCAGTTAGGCCTAAACCCCACCCTTATCGTTGCCATGCCTCTTAGGGACTCTCCATAGCAGGTAACTGTGCAAACTCAAGTTCTTCCAAGTCCCTCGACAGGCCTCTAGCTGAGCCTGGCCTGACACCCACACCTGAAGTCCCTAAGGGTTTAGGGGAATGTTTGGTTTATCTTAGGGGGTCTCATGCCCTGCCTAAAATGCTTGCCGAAGGAATGTACTCTTATGGCCTGTGCTTCCTGCCTGCCCTTCGCCCAGCACCCACCTGCTCCAGGCCACTGCTGTTCAGGAAGAGCTGCCGCAGCGACCGTCCCACAGGCTGAAAAGCCCCATCTTGCAGAGCCCTGAATGGGTTCCCCGAGAGCTGCAGCTCTGTGAGTGCCGGCAGCCCCTCCAGGGCGCCTGTGGGCACCTCTCGCAGCTGATTCCTGTCAAGATGCAGCTTCTCCAGCTCCCGAGCTGGACCCAGCGCCCCAGGTGAAACCTGGGTGATGTGATTTCCACTCAGGTAAAGGCAACGCAAAGCCCGCGCTCCTGCCAGGTCCCCAGGCGCCAGGCGGTCCACCGCGTTGTCCTGGAGGTGTAGCGCGAATAGGCTGGGTAGGGCGCGCAGAGCAGCCCCCGGGACCCTCAGGAAGCGGTTGTGCTCCAGGTACAGGTAGGCGAGGTGGGGGGCCCCTTCGAGGGCTGCGGCGCTCAGGCCTGAGAGCTGGTTGTCTGAGAGGTAGAGGTAGACCAGGCGCTCCAGGCCCGCCAAAGCGCCGGGCTCCAGCTCCGCGATGCCGCAGTGCTGCAGGTGCAGCGACACCAGCTGGCGCAGGCCGGGGAAGGCGGCGCGGGGCACCGAAGGGAAGTGGTTGCGCCTCAGGTCCAGGAGTTGGGTGTCGTTGGGAAAGCCGCGGGGCACAGCCCGCAGGCCGTGGCCGTCGCAAGCGCTGTGCCGCGTCTCCCCGACGCACACGCAGGCCGGAGGGCAGGGCGTGGCCGTAGCGGCCTCCTGGTCCCCGCGCCGCCTCCCCGGCCTGCGCCAGCTG